GCCCTGTGCATGAGATTTGTGCCCTGAGTGGAGAGTCCCTCAGCCTGGCCTGCACCCTCTCACAGTCTGGGACCCCTCACTTCTTACCACCCACCTGCAGTGGAGGGGGCAGAGGCTCCCTCCGCCACTGCTGGGCTCACCAGTCGTAAGCCTGGCTTCAGGCTGAGTGGTGCTCCCTTTGTGGGAGCGCACAGACCACTAGGGGGAAGCTCCTACTTTAAGCGTCTTCCCCCTGGTGCTCAGTGTGCATCATAGCGACCAGTCATTCCGCTGTCAGTCAATTTGCGTTTACATATTATGCTTTTATTATATAGGATATATATACATATACATATACATATACATATACATATGCATATACATATACATATACATATCTTGTCTTTGTTTAAAGAAGTTCTGGAAGGATACTGATATTAATCCAGTATGAATGGATAGAGCTGTACTGGTTGATAAAGTACACTTGATCCTTGAACAGCATGTGTTTGAACTGCATGGGTCCACTTATACATGGATTTTTTTTTCAATAAATATATACAGTACTTTAAATGTACTTTCTCTCCCTTACAATTTTCTTAATAACTTTTTCTTTTCTCTAGCATACTTTTTAAAGAATACAATATATAACACATATAACAAAAATGTGTTAATTGACAGTTTAAGTTATCAGTAAGGCTTCCAGTCAACAATAAGCTATTAGTAGTTAAGATTTGGAAGAGTCAAAAGTTATATGTGGATTTCCAACTGCATGGGATTTTGGGTCTCCTAACCCCAAAGGTTGATTATACTTCCCAAACTGTTGGTAAATGGCAACTATACAATTCACCCTCTGCCTTAAGTGTCACTCTGGTTTTCTCCCAGAGAAAAGTGATACAAATCATTCTCAACTGGACCTAGGAAAGCTATATTTCTTTCTTTACTGTGAAGTGGATACACTGGTCAGATACTACACTCATCAAGGTCACCTATGTGCTGCTGTAATGTAAGTGCAATCCACTTTTGGCTTGAACCCACCAAGCCAACCTATTTATAAATCAAGGCTTTTTTTTTCTCTCCTCCTTCATATATTCACTAGAGACTCAGTGCACAAATTTGTGCATAGGTGGGGTCCCTTGGTCTGGCCAGCGATCAAGGCCTATTTGGGGGGCCAGCCAGCAGAGGGGAGGAACCCTGGGAGGTTGGCTGGCCAGCAGGGGCAGGTACCCGTAGGAGTTTGGCCAAACAGGGGCAGAGACTGTGGAAGGTTGGCCAGCTGGCAGGGGTGTCCTGGGAAGCTGGCTGGCCCCCCAATTGGGTCATGGGGGGCTGCCAGGTGGGGATAGGGACCACAGAAGGTTGACCGGCTTGCCCCCCCCCAATTGGGGCTGATTGGGAAGGCTGAACAGGTTGTGGGGAGGGGTCATGGGAGGTTGGCCAGGCGGCCAGGAGAGTGTGGGGGGGCATGGGAGGTTGGCTGTGGGAACACACTGACCACCCTCAGGCAGCTCCAGTGTTGAGTGTCTTCCCCCTGGTGGTCAGTGCATGTCATAGCAATTGGTTGACCATTACTGTTGTTTGGTTGTAATGGTTGTTAGGCTATCTATATATACTAG